ATAGGCAAGAAAGAGAATTTCAAGTTGGGGACCAAGTTTTTCTAAAGTTGCAACCTTTCCGACAGAATACCGTCGCAATGAGGAGAAACATGAAATTAACATCAAAATACTACGGCCCTTATACAGTGATTGAGAGGATAGGAAAGGTGGCTTACCGCCTTGATTTACCGGAAGGTGCGCGAGTTCACCCAGTGTTCCATGTGTCTTTGCTGAAAAAGCGGGTGGCAACAACGACGCCGGTGACTGCAGATCTACCTCCTACCACTGAAGATGGGCTGTTTGTAGTGATGCCGGTGGGAGTCTTGTCTCAACAAATGGTGAATCGCCAAGGAAGAAACATGGAACAATGGTTGGTTCAATGGGATCTCGATCGGCCGGAACTCGCAACTTGGGAAGACGCCTCGCTTATCTCAAAAAAATTTCCCTCATTTGATCCTTGGGGACAAGGATCTGCTCATGGAGGGGGTATTGTTATGAACTTTGAAGCTGAAGAGAAGAATTGCGGGTTTGGATCTGACGAGCTCGACAAGGGAAAAGGTGAAGTCTTGGGATATGCAGAGTTTGGAGAAATTTGTCCTAATTCGCACAGTACAAGTGAAGAAGATAAGTTGATTATGAGCGAGTTGGATAGTGGGCTCCCCCATTTCTTCCTCAACAATTCAGCTTGTTTATTCTTCAAAATTCATCAATTATAACTCACAGAAAAATACAAAAAATAATTATAGAAAAACCCATCTCATAACATTTTGTTGGAAGTTGGAACTTGAAACTATGAATATTGTTGTTTATTTGCTTTATTGGTCATGTTGGATATGGATGCTACTTGTTAGTTTTTTTGAACTTTATTTATTGTTGTTTTCATTTTAATGTGTGGTGTTTTGTTGCATATTTATTAGCTATTATCATTTATATCTCCATAAATAATTGTGTCATAATTTGGTAAAAATGTCTCATATACAACTATACATATATTTCTATTTTTTTTTTTTGTAATGGCTCGCTTCGCTTTCATAAGGCGGGCGCCTCGCCGCACGCCTCACGCCATGGCAAATTGGAGCCTTGTCGCCTCGGCTCGCCGCGCGCTATTTTAATCACTGGTATAGATACATACTAATGTAGTAATGTTCATGGTATGAATTTGTTTACCTTGAACCGGCTAGACTCCTTGAGATCTCGCCTTTCACGCCGGTTAATCGCTTCGAGTACCTACAAAAAGCCAATACCGGAGAGAAGATATCTCCGGCTCGGCCCTCCGATGATAAAGTCAGTCTCCTTTTCTCTAAATTTAGGCTAGAAAAATTGTAAATCGAATGAATCTCCCTAAAAACCGTTACCTCCTTATATCAGTCTCCATGGAAAGTGGTTTGACCCACGATTTAACCGCTTCAGCCACGTTTCCGAAATATCTGAAATTACTAAACCCCCACTTCCCAGTTTAATGTAATATCTCACTATTCCGCTCAACTAATTCATCTACTCGGTCTTTTCCATCTACTCCTGCTCGACTAATTCATCTGCTCGATCTTTGAGACAGGCACCCTCACTTGATCCGGCTTTTCGACTTGAGAACCAAGGATATAATATCCCATATCAGTTCAATTATTAATTGTATTAATATAAGAGAAGCAATTATATTTATTATATTTTTACATATATATATAATTGTTGGCTATTGAGTTAATACATGAAAATTTTATTTCCTGTTCATTTTTTCTTTCAATTAATTACAGTTACATTTATATTAATCAAACTAGTACAACGCCCGTGTATTACACGGGTGCTTGTTATTTTTTATTTAAAATTTAAAATTAATGAGAAAAAATAGTTGAAAATTTAAAACCTTTTATAAAAATATATATACTATTATTTATATATTAAGTATGAAACTTTTTATTTATGCGACTTACATGTATTTTATTATAATAATTTTTTATAACTTACAAAATATATATACATTAAACATAAATATATCAATTAAGAAATAATTTTATTTTTCTAATGAATTTTAATATATATTATTATTATTTTTATTATAAAGATAAATATAATTTATTTATTTAATATATACAATATGGATGTCAAATCGAACATCATCAAAAGGTGATTAATTTGATATATTATATATGTGAAACCGATAAGAAATACAAAAGTTATCAACTTTTAAAATTCATTTACAATTTAATAGCTAATTGAAGGAAACAAATCAAAAGTCAGGGATATATTAGTCACTTAATGTCTCACTATGTAAAATTACAAAGAATTAAAAGATTATATTAGTACAAGTGATATTAAAATACCTAAGTTAACTAAATAATATTTATGGAATGTCCTAACCTAGATTATTAATTATTAATATATCAATATTATTTGTCCAAACCTAATTACGAAGCATGATTATTTGCCAAGTAGGATTCCGAAGCACCAGAAGCAGCCACGTAGACTCAGCGCATTCGGGAATTATATAAAAGGGGGATTGTAATTATATTTTTTAAGCTTTCTATCATATAATAGTTACCAAAACAAACTAATCATAATTTAATTTACATAATTACACAAAATTATGCAAGAAAATTATTTTACATTACTTTTTCATTCAAGTTACTTATTAAGTGTTTTATTAAGTTTTTATTAACTAGTTAACATGTTTTACTTGACATAGTCAAACCCCTAAAGATTGCATAAACAATTGTTATAATAATAATAGTAACGTAAATTTCAATATTTATTCACCCCAAAGTATTTTTTCAATATTCGGTTCGGTTTGGACATAAGTGCTTGGTTAACCAAACTGAACTGAAAACTTCGATTGGAGCCCAAAGGAATTATATCTCCACCCCCGCCCGGTAACCAAACCAATCCAACCGCCATTCTTTTTGGATCGAAACCAAATTGAAACGAAAAATTTGGTTCGATTTTCGATTTCTATTTGGTCAAACCAAAATATCGGTCGGTTCAGTTTCGCCAAATTCAACATCCTAGTTTTCCAAGATTAGAAGAGACAGTCCAAATGGGAGTATAAAACACAATTGTATCATTTGAAATCAAAGATTGCAACACAATAAAAGAAACATCTCAACCCCAAATCTTGAAACCAAAAGGCTTCTCATTGTCAACAGCACATCGACATTGAATCCAACTGTCGAAGAGTAACTCTCAACACGACCATCATTGGAGAATGTGGCTTCACTTACATCTCATTTTCTACGAATAAAAGCGACTCGAAAATATACAAACAGAAGAAAGATTGAAGATGCTATGATGCTGCTATACTTTCCTTTCAATTTCAATTTGTCAAAGAACAAATAACATGCTGCTTTCATTCGGCTGTTCGGTTTGTCAAAAAACAAAATGGAGGATTTGCATAAACTTGAATATCCAAAGATAACAACCAAAACATATATCGCACTATACCACATTTCTTGACCGAAAAAACACCATTTTACTGAACAAAATCAATCACGGGAACAATTTTTTTTCACACGAATGGAAACAAAACTAAGCTCGTTTTTTTCGCAGCCAGTTCGAAATAATCGATCAACCACAGTTCCATTACTTAAATAGACTCAACTCTCGCTGTAAGCTGCATAAAACATGAAATCGAAGAAAACGAAACAAAGGGAATCAGCTTGAAATAGAAAAACTATAATCAGGGGATTACGACTTATTAGCCACTGTCTTAGAAGCTCGGCACAAGCACAAATATGATTGGCAAAGCACCAGGAGAAAATATATCTAAGACATTAGGCCACAGTGAAAATACCCATCATCAGTACCTGTTACAACTCATCATATCCCTCAGCCCACCAATTTCTTTAAATCGTGAGCAAAAACAAGAAATTAAACTCAACAAATCAATGGTTTTTCAACCAAAAAAAAAAAAAAAGGGCAGCTAAAAATAAGGCGAAATTGCAATTTTTTAGTCCTATTGGTTCGATCCAGTAACGTTTTTAGTCATAAGAATTGAAAATGTTTGCCTTTTGGTCCCATAATTTTAGAATTCAACGCAATTTCATGCAACAAAATTTAAAATTAGAGTACTTAAATTGCTAATAAAATTTATTTTCGATGGATTTTTTATTATCAATTTAAGTCTTGAAATTTTAAATTTTTGTTGCGGTTTCAACTCCGAAGGACTAAAATTGGAGCCAAATACTAAATTATAGAATCAAAATACTAAATTATAGAATCAAAAGACAAAAAATTAAAATTTTCAGACTAAAAATGCTACAACTTAAACCAACAACAAGACTAAAAATGCAAATTTGCCCTAAAAATAACAAATCACAAATCTTAGAAGCTGAAGATAAAGATGAAGGGCAGTCAAATGAGCAACAATTCGCCCAAAAAAATTGCTTCTTAATAGCACTGGTTAATTTTCAGACAGTAACATAATAATAATAATAATAATAATAATAATAATAATAATAATAATAAATAATAATAATAAATAAATAAATAAACTTTGTAAGAGCACCTAGCTTTTGGCAAGAAAAAGGTTGGAGAATGAAAAATGAAATTCGCCGCCATTGCAAAGAAGCTCAATAGTCGATTGTCTTGCCTGGTTTCCTTTAAAACCTCTGGAAAAAAACCTTTTAGATATTGATGGGCTTGGTGAAATCTTGAATTGGGCCTTGCCTAGGCTAGTCTGTATTCCACTTTTTCGAGTCCAAATATTAATTGGGCCACACTGCTAAGGCATCTCAGTATCTGTAATTGGGCACCATTTTTTATTT